GTTCAAGTGTGCATCAGTACTTCATTCCTTTTTATCATCAAATAATAATCCATTACATGGAATTTTACTTACCCATCCATCAGTTGATAGACATATGCATTTCCCCCCATATTTTGACTCTAGTAATGTTGCTATGAACCTAATTTTGGACTTAAAATGAGTTTGTTATATTCTAATGAAAAATATCTGTGGAATTTTTATTGCAACTACATTAAATGTATAGGTTAACATGATAATATCAATAGATGCTGAGAAAGCTTTCGACAAGGTACAATACCCATTCATGATAAAAGCCCTTGAAATTCTTGAGATACAAGGAACATACCTCAACATCATAAAGGCCATATATGACAAGCCAACAGCCAGTATCATTCACAATGGTGAAAAGCTGAAAGCATTCCATTAAGATCTGGAACAAGACAAGGATGTCCACTCTCACCACTGCTTTTCAATATAATACTGGAAGTCCTAGCCATAGCAATAAGACAAGAGAAAGACTTACAAGGAATTCAAATAGGAAAAAAAGAAGTTAAACTATCACTATTTTCAGATGATATGATAATATACATAGAGAACCCCAAAAACTCCACAGAAAAACTAATTCAACTAATCAATCAGTTTAGTAAAGTGGCAGGATACAAAATCAACATGCAAAAATCAGTAGCCTTCCTATACACAAACAGTAAATCTGAAGAAGAAAAAATCAAAAAAAACATCCCTTTTATTATTGAAACAAAAAATCAAATACTTGGGAATATATCTAACAAAAGAGGTAAAGGACCTATACAAAGAAAACTATAAAACACTGTTAAAAGAAATAGAAGAAGACACAAAGAAATGGAAAGACATCCCCTGCTCATGGATTAGAAGAATTAACATTATCAAAATGGCCATTCTACCAAAAGCAATATACAGATTCAATGCTATTCCAATAAAAATCCCAAAGATATTCTTCAAAGAAGTAGAACAGATACTGATGAAATTCATATGGAACCACAAAAAAACACAAATAGCCAAAGCCCTACTGATGAAAACAAAGGAGAAAGGAGGTATCACACTTTGAATCTTCAAGCTATGCTACAAAGCCATAATAATTAAAACAGTTTGGTATTAGGAACAAAAACAGACACACAGACCAATGGAATTGAATGGAAAATCCAGAAATAAACCCATAGATTTATAGTCAACTAATCTTTGACAAAGGAGCAAAGAATATGCACTGGAGCAAAGAAAGTTTGTTCAATAAATGGTGCTGGGAAAACTGGGTCGCTACATGCAAAAGAATGAAGCTTGACCACTACCTCACACCATGCACAAAAAACAACTCAAAATGGATTACAGAACTAGACATAAGACCTGAAACCATAAAATACATAGACGATAATATAGGCGAAACACTACATGATATGCACATCAAAGACATCTTTACAGACACATCACCCAAAGCAGTGATAGTGAAGGCAAAGATAAACAGCTGGGACTATATCAAATTAAAAAGCTTCTGCACAGCAAAAGAGACAATAACCAAAACAAAGAGAAACCCCACTGACCGGGAGAACATTTTTGCACACAACACTAACGATAAAGGACTGATCGCAAAAATCTACAAAGAGCTGATGAGACTCAACAAAAACAAAGAAAATAATCCAGTCAAAAAATGGGCAGAAGAGCTAAAAAGAAACTTCTCTGAAGAGGAAATACAAATGGCCAACAGGCATATGAAAAAATGTTCAACATCACTTGTAATCAGGGAAATGCAAATCAAAACTACCATGAGATACCATCTTATACCAGTGAGAATGGCACATATTAAAAAAACTAGCAACAACGAATGTTGGCGAGGTTGTGGAGAAAAAAGGAACTCTCCTGCACTGTTGGTAGGAGTGCAAACTGGTCTAACCACTATGGAGAGCTGTGTGGAGATTTCTTGACCTACTAAACATAGAGCTTTCTTGACCTACTAAAGATAGAGCTTCCATATGATCCAGCAATTCCACTCCTAGGTATTTACCCAAAGGACACAGAAACATTAATTCCAAAGGGCACCTGCACACCTATGTTCATAGCAGCACTATTTACAATAGCTAAGCTTTGGAAACAACCCAAATGCCCAAAAATAGATGACTGGATCAAGAAGATGTGGTCCATATACACCATGGAATATTACTCAGCATTCAAAAAAGATAAACACATGCAATTTGCAGCAACATGGATGGAGCTAGAGGGGATCATGCTCAGAAAAATAAGTCAGAAAGAAAAAGAAAAATACTAGATGGTCTCCCTCATAGTGGGAATTTAGAAAACCTAAATAAGAGACCAGGAAAAAGACTAATCAATACAAAGTAAAAATCAAAATTAACAAGCAACTATAAACCAGAGACACACTATGGGGGGAGGGGAGCGGGGGAAAGGAAGGACTAGAGTCAAAATAAGGGGGGGGGTGCAATTGTATGGGAAATATAAAAAATAAAAAAAGATAAGAGGTCTAAACAATAATGAGAATAAGGAAACCATGCATATCTTGTTACAGTTTTAATATTTAGCACTTTTTTTTAATCACTATTGAGATACATTGATTAAATCTCCTTATCTTGTGATAAGACTATCCACTTGTTTGCAACAAAAATAAAGTTGCAGTTCCAAAACAAATATATAGGTCAATTTACAGAAAATTTTAATTGTTACAATGTTAAGTTTTCCATCCAGGAAATTGTTTTCCTTTGCTTTTATTTAGGCTTTGTTTATTGCCTTCCCTAAAGTTGTAGTTTTCTTCATAAAATTCTGGTTATTTTGTAATTTTTATTTATTTTATAATGTTTGCCATCTTGAGTGGGATTTTTCATTAAATTTTCAATTTGGGGCCTCCCTGTGGCGCAAGGGGTTAAGCACCCACTATGAAGCAATCCACAGCCTCTGCAGCATGAGTTCTATCCCCAGCCCACCAGAGAGAAACCCACATGGTGAGGCAGACCTCTCCTGTCTCGCCCGCTGCTCCCCTCAGCAGTGTATTTCAGTTGATCTGCCTGTTCTGCTCCCCACTCTGTCTCTGGTGGATCCTCTCACCCCTGGCATCACTGGCCAGTGCCCCAGCTCTTGTATGCATGAATAAACAAATCTTTAAAAAAAAAATTCAGTTTGGTGATATCACAATATAAAAAAGCTACTGATTTCTGTATTTAATCCTGTATCTAGCTACTTTGAGGATCTCTTATTAGTTGAGATTTTTTTCAGCTGATTTCCTTTTAATCTTCCAAAAAAAAGTCATTATGGAATTTATACTCTTAAGTTTATCTCTTCCTCAGCAATATTTATAATTTCTATTCCTTTTTTTAAATTTAATTGACTAGGATCTCTAGTAGCAAATATACCAACTGTATAACTGTATTGAGTTTACATCTTTCTTCTGATCAACTTTAACTTTTAATCACAAGCGATGTTACAACAGAAATAAAGGAAATTTAATGAGAGAAAAATTCTGAATGCCATGTGAAAAAGCACACTTGACAAATTAGTGAAAATAAGTTGTATACATGTAGAAATACATACAAACTGCTATGGGTACTCCTTTCAGAGGCATGAAATTCTGGAAGCAGGAACATATATAGAGAAACTCCTTTCCTCTCAGTGCACTTCTGTATTGCTGGACTCTTTGCAGTCAGCATTTTTGATAATTATAAGTTTAAAATGCATTTTGGAAAAAACATGGAATGGAAAGTATATAAAGATCTTAAAATTTCTAAATGGGTGCATTGTGAATGACTGAAATTTATTTTGTTCACTAATTTCAATTTCAAATAAAAAATCAGATGATAGATACAAATAGATGATAGAAAGTTTCATTAGAAGTTAGAGATATTGGGCCTCCCTGGTGGCGCAAGGGGTTAAGCACTGCGCTATGAAGCAATCTGTAGCCTCTGCAGCATGAGTTCGATCTCCGGTGGCCAGGGAGCAACCCACATGGTGCAGCAGACCTCTCCTGTCTCACCTGCTGCTCCCCTCAGTAGTGTATTTCAGTAGATTTGCCTGTCCTGTTCCCCACTCTGTCTCTGGGTGAATCCTTTCACCCCCCACATCTCTAGCCTGTATCCCAGCTCTTGTGTGCATAAATATATGTTTAAAAAGAAAAGAAAAGAAAAAAACGCTAAATTAAAAAAAAGACGTTAGAGATATTACTAGAGATATGTTTCCACTTGTTACCAGAATATCCAAAAACAAAAAGATGGCCAAATTAAAGAAATGGGTACAAAGAAAAAGCTTATAAATTATGCTGTGCTTAATTCTAGGGCAGGATGGTAGCTATTTTTTCCCTCGCCAACATACCTACAGAATTGTGAATGGAGATATTGTTTCATGGACAGAAGAGAATTTTAATTGTTCTTTATATCATCAAACCTTGGTTTTTCTTCTGACATACAATGGGGGATTCAACCACCTTAGGAGGCTATGTATATTATTTCTCCCAGTAGTTAGGGTACCACAAAAGACATAGTACTGCCACATATTATTATAGTTTCCCCCACCATGCTACCCAAAAGTGGAGCATTCTTATGAACCCTATAAAACTGAAATGGCAAACAGCAAAAAGCAATTACTATTACTGTATTTGGAAATTTTTCAAACACTTCCAGACCTAAAAAACAACTTACCAAATCAACATAAAACCTAAAATAACATTAACCTATAGTAAAATCAGGAATGAAATATATTAAATACATACCTGTATAAAGACACATTCCAAGAAGGATCTGGAGAAGCCACTTTTGGTGCTACAAAATGGCTGCCACAAAGCAAATGCTGGCTAATACTGTTGCTTTTCCACTTTTGTGTAAGAGCAAAAATACTTTTGGGATTTCTTTAGGTTAAAGAAAACAAGACTTATATAGGTCTTTCATGAGTGCAAAGTGACTTTGATACATGGATTTTTGAACAGTGGTGGGGGTTCCTGTGCTGCCTCCGTTTTGGAATATGACTAAATGTGCCTCTTCCATATTCTCTTCCAGGATTTCCAATGAACACTCCCCCAAACTCCAGATCCGGAGTCACAGTTACCTGAGGGCAGTAAGTGAAGTCTCCATCAACCGGAGCCTGGACAGCCTGGACCCTGCAGGCCTGCTCACGTCACCGAAGTTTCGCTCCAGGAATGAGAGCTACATGCGAGCTATGAGTACCATCAGCCAGGTGAGCACACAGCGCTGACCTCACAAGGGTTAAGGGAATCCTCGAGTGCAGAAAGAGGAGGTGGTCACTCCCCACATCGACAGCTGATGTTTTGAGCAGGAGCTCCAGGCTAAATGCTGCAGGCGTTTGGCAAAGCAGTCACCTCGAATCAACAGCTGACCAGCAGGGGAGGGATGCTCTGCAGATGGATATGCATTTGACGTGGTCTTTGAACATTCACTAGAATCCTGTCAACTCCAACAAATTTGTCACTAAGGAGTTGATGGATGAGCTTCAGATGTAAGGAGGCTTAAAAGATGTAAGAAAGGGGTAGACATCACTCGCAAAACCAAGGGCAGTGTTTAATCATAAAAATATAAGTGTCAAGCAGGTCCTGGAGTCAAGGACCCCGCACAGGAAGTGAGATTCAATTTATTACCTCCGCCAGGTCCTAAGTGATTATTGTGTTTTGTTAATATGACAGAATTCTACTTCTAAGACTCAATAAAGGTGATAATAATATTCCACTATTTGAGTATTTAATATTCAGTCTCTCTCGTCAAAAGTCTCAGAAAGTGTAAAAGAGGGTTGGCTGTCTAAGCTCAGTGGGTTAGAGGACCTGGCACTCCTGGAACACCTGAGTCTGCAGCTTTCAGGAGCCCCCAGAGGAGGTATTTTGATACTTCACCTAGGAGGACAAAATGAAGGGCATTTTTTAAAATTGATTTTAGGAATTCTAAATTTAAATTTATATCACAATGTTTAAAACTTTTGTACCCTGTGCTATTAATAAAGCTAATATTTATTAAGCAAAACACTGGGCCAGATAATACAGGTTACTCACTGATGAATAATACATAGTTCCTGCCACCCAAAATGCTTGCAATCTGCTGAGGAACATACAAAAAACATTAAAATGCAATCACAAATATTATTTAGTTGATCACCACAAAAGCACTTTGAGGACAAGAATTGGCACTAAAAACTACCTTTATTGGGTCAGGCAGTGTGCCAACTGCTTTACATTTTTAGAATATTAGTTTACAAAATATCCTATTAGATACGTGAGAAACCACATGTTAAATGGAACTGTCTTTATTATCATGAAATGGACAAGAGCCCAAGGCTAAGGACAAAAAGATGTTAAGTTCCCAGGAGTCCAGAGATTGCTTCTAGTCACAGGGATCTGGGAATATGCATTTTAACACATATTTCAAATGATTGTAATAAAGTAGTGCTTGATCTGAACTTTAAAAATAATATCTAAATTGCTTTAAGGAGTAGTTTGATTGGCAATTAAGAGAAAGAGGCAGCAATAGAAAATCTATCCTGAATTTTGTCATGGAGACTTTTTTTTATGGTTGACTTTACCCTCAGGCCTAGAAGACTAGATCTTATTCATTAGAAATGGGAGTGATCAAAGATTAATTAAAATTTAAACTTTTTAAGGCATCAATAAAAAAAATAACAGTACAAAACACAATGAAGCAAAAATGGACAATTATAAACCAAAGACATACTGCAGGGGAGGAGGGAGAGGGATCAGAGGAAGGGAAGGAGGAGTACAGGGGACTGTGGTGATGGTGCACGGGTGCATTGGTGAAGGAAATTCTATGGGGACTACACCTGAGGGGGTGAGGAGAGCAAATATTGTTTAAAAATGAACAATGATGTTAAAAAAAAAAATAAGGGCCTCCCCTGGTGGCGCAGCAGTTGAGCGCTGGGCTGCCAAGCTTCCCGCAGCCTCTGCAGCGCCGGTTCGATCCCCGGCCCCCAGCAAGAGTCCCACATGGAGCGACAGACCTCTCCTGCCATGCCGGCTGCTCCCCTCAGCAGTGTATTTCATCAGTCTGCCTGTTCTGTTCCCCGCTCTGGCTCTGGTGAATTCTCTCACCCTCCCACACTTCTGACTGTACCCAGTGCTTGTATAATAAATAATAAAAATAAATAAATCTTTTTTAAAAAATGTAAATTTTAAAAAAATAAAAATAAAAAAATAAAAAATTTAAGCTTTTAAGCAGGCAAGAGATAGGATCAGAACCATCAATGGTTGATGTAGGCTAGTTAATATGGCAAAAAAAATGTTGGCAGTATCTCAGAGGATGAAAAACTAAAGGCAGGGATGCTAATTTGGAAAACATTGTGATCAAAGTAAGGGTTAATGCTACTGGTGGTGCTGCTGATAGTGATGGTGAGGAGGGGTGATGTGGTGATGAGGTATTGGCTGTAGTTCCGATGGTGGTGGTGAGGGAATGTGGTCTTGGTGATCATGATGATGGTGGTGGTGATGGCAGTGATGGTTAGGGTGATCGTGGTAGTGATGGTGGTACAATGTTTGATAGTGAGGGAGTAATGATGGTGGTAGTATTGGTGGTTTTACATTGTGTAGTAATTAATGGTAGGGAGTGGTGCTGGTGAGGATGAGACAAATAATGTATTTGAGAAAACAGTGACGAGATGGTGGACTAAGCACCAAAGCATCTCTGTTCTGCCAAAGCGAGACCCTGAAATGGGAACAGTGCTTTCACTCTGTCCTGCCATCTAAATAAATTCTTGACAAAAAAAGGCAGGGACCACAAGAATCTGAGAGTAAGGTGGGATGAGATTCAGAGAAAGCTGGCATGCGGGGTTATGGTAACGGCCCACTATGTAGTTCCCTGAGGGAATTCTCCAAGAACTTGCAGACCCTCTTGTGCTTGCTAATGCTGCCCACTGACACTCACCCTCTCAACTGTCAGGAATATAGTTCGTCCTTCATTTGGTGCAATTTGGACCTTTTTGTTCTTATATTTTGTTCACAATAAATAAAATAATATTTAAGACATTTTTAAGTGTATCTTTGTTCTGCAAAGTCTTCTGGTCACATAACCTTCTGTAATTGTAAAATGTCTATAAATCCAGCCAACATACCTGCAGAATACAACAGTAAATTCAACAAATTATATTTGAAAAAGTTTATACATATCCACTACTTTAATAATTTTACATGTTTAAGCCACGAAAACATGTCGCTTCCCCCATCAGGACATTGTGTCTCTGCATCTGCCTGCCTTTAGTCTCTATGTGACAGAGCTAGCCTCCCTTGATACAACACCACTTCCAAGCAACAGCTTAGTACAATATCAACAAACCACTGAAGAGGTGCCATGTGGGCCTTGGTGCTATGGCGTATCAAGCTCTACATTTCAGTGAAGTAATAATTTTGCCTAAAGTAAAATACAGAAAGAAAATCCATCCTAAATGTATGCCTTATGGTACATCTTTTTCTAATTCCATATTCAATTTTCAAGTGACACAGTACCCTTAAGGATAATTTCAAACATTCTATTGCAGCACCAACATTCATCATTCCAAGAAGAATAGTTTCTTCTTCAAAGCAGTACTATCATATATACACCAGAATTTTCAAAAAGGAGTGGGTATTTATGAAATTGGAGATATTCATTGTCTTTTATAGCTCTTTAGTAATGGCCCTAATCATATAGGATTTAAGTGCATGATATCATATTTCTTTTTAAAACCTGATATGTTATTAAGGAAAGCCACTAGAAAGATCAAAGTGAAATTTTATAATCCAAGAAAATTGATCTAGAAAACTAAATCACTTCTTTCTGTCATTCATACCTCAGTGAAATAAAATACCCCTAAAAACAGATTGTGTTTGGGTGACAAAGAAAAATTGAATATCTTTTTATATACTTATACCCCTTCTATATTTTTCTATATATGCATTTAATGAAAATGGGGACAAAGGGAAGCTTGAGAAGAAAGAATTTCAGATAATCACAATTTTTTAAAAAATATTTGGTATAATACTGTCATATCCAAGTTAGCCTAATAATATATCTTTATTTATTTCAAATCTAATCTTAAATATATCTTCAGGTGGAATTATAAGCTAGAAGTCCATTGACATTTTGTCTGAAATATGTCAATTTCTATATCATTTCAAAATTAAGCATAATTAGTCAGTGGCATCTCTCTTGCCCCATTTGTGACTATGCAGGTGCCTCTGTTTCTCTCCTTTTCCTAATAAACCTCTCCTTTTAAAATGCAAAAAAATAAATAAATAAATGCAATTAGTTATTGTGCTTGGTAATAAAACTAGCAGTGTAGCCTACACTATCCCTTCATTAAATATGGAAACCAATATGAATTAAGAATATATGGATATATTCAAAAAAGATAAACATATGCAATTTGCAGCAACATGGATGGAACTGGAAGGGATCATGCTCAGCGAAATAAGCCAATAAGAAAAAGAAAAATACTGGATGGTGTCACTCATAGCAGGAATCTAGAAAACTTAAATAAGGGACCAGGAAAAAGAATAACTATAAGAAAGAAAATATCAAAATCAACAAACAACTATGAACCAGAGACATTCTATGGGGTGTGAGGGGCGGGGAAAGGAGGGATTGGGGTCAAAATAAGGGGGTTGTAATTGTAAGGGGAATATAAAAATAAAATTTAAATAATAAAAAAAGAAAAAATAAGAATGCAACTGTTAAGAAAATTAAAAAAAAAAAAAAGAGTATATGGATATATAGCTGGTCAGTGATAGAACCTAGAATACCTAAGTGTTAACTCCTAACTGATAACTGAGTTTCTACAATGCCCACTGGTATTGTGTATTGGTGGCAATATTGCTGCTAATAATAGTAATAATAATTGAAATGATAACAATGGAGCAGTTGGAATGTATTGCTTGTTTGATCATGCCAGAAGCTTTACATATTATCCCATTAATTTCATGTCAACTATAAGAAAGATCAGTTTTTTAATTTAGGAAAATTAGTCATACAGATTTGAAGTAATTTGTCTCATTCTTCCACTGTAATATCTCAGGGAATAATATCCAGTATTTATAAGGTGACTACCTTTTGCCTAGAAATATTATATGTATTTATATACATTATTTTACTTCTGGCTTTAAAACATGTGTATGAGCTAAGTATCGTTATACCCATTTTATAGATGAAGAAAGTGAGACTCAAATAATTCAAGCAAATAAATTATCC